CATTTTAGCGGTTTCATGTGGACGGAAATTTTTTAGAAGACAATGTTCGTGTGGACGGGGATTTTTTTTTTTTAACGGAGGAGGAAAAAACACCGTTTTAAAATATACCCGTGTACGTGTGGACAAGGCATGTATCATCCTCACTTTTTGAGTGCCAAGGGTTTGTTTCAGTTTAGGGGTCTTGTCCCTGGGTTTGTTGAATCTGATTTTAATCAATATTTCATCACTAAACTTTTTAGTCTGATCTAGTTTCTGGCAGTCAACAGCCACAAATCCCAAATGGTACAGGTTTCCTGTGTACTCTTCAATAGTCTCTCTCGCCTGTCAGGAAACTGGTATTGTGGTTGGATGGCACAGTTTTTCAGTCTCCTGCTCTGTAAGTTGTAAAAATCCATAAAATGTGTTTAAACTGTGCTCATATATTTGTGTCTATGTGTGTATGCAACTGTGTCAGTTTAAGGAGCTGCTCTCCCATAGTAAACACAATTCTGTTTGTGTATATGCACTGTTAATCAACTGTCAGATCATAATGTTACCATCTGATATTTATTTGCCAAGCAGGTTAACTTACATCACCAGTTCTCTCTCACTTCAATGCTGTATAAAACATCTTGAAGATAAATAAACCTGGTATCAAAAACTGTGATGTAAAAGTGGAAAAAATATACATACAGTATCAATTTTGGAAAGTAATCACTTGCATCAACATGTCAAAGGTTCCATTAGCGATGAATGGACTTGAGCATATAGATGAAAGAAGTCACAAATCCTCTGCTTGTGAATAAAGAGGCCTGGCATAATATAGCTGCTTTTTCCATTTTCTAAAATGCCAGCAGTTTCTGATTTCACATTGAATACATTTGAAAAGTGGTATGCAAGCAGAAATATGAATACTTTCAAGATGAAGTCAATCATTTTTGAAACATAGAATAGAACAATTCTTAACATTCAAATCTACTTTATAGATCTACTCTAATTTGATCGCATTACACCGGTCTTATCCTCCCTTCATTGGTTACCAGTTAAGTCTCGGATTAACTATAAAATACTACTATTAACTTAGAAAGCACTGAATGGCCTTGCACCAGAATACCTTAGTGATCTGCTGACATCATACAACCCCCCGCGCTTGCTTCGTTCTCAAGGCGCGGGATATCTGTTAGTACCTAGGGTAGAAAGAGCTATGGCAGGCTGCAGAGCTTTCTCCTATAGAGCTCCTCAGCTGTGGAATGGTCGTCCACCGGATGTGCGGGTTTCAGGCTCACTCTCAATATTCAAGTCTAGACTAAGTTTATAGGGACACTAGTTCTAGCTCTAGCTAACGCCTCACTCCCAGTTAGACCTATAGTGTGAGGTGTAGAGCTGGGTGGGGATCAGTGCCATTGGCTTTGGATAAACTGAATTGACAGTGCTGTAACTCTAGCTTCACAATCGCTTGTGGGATTGGAGTGCTGACATTTCAGGGACCCCCCATGCCTGCATCCCCACCTGCCTCTCCCTCCTACTTATGCTGCCATAGCCATATCTGCCGGAGCTTGCACATTGCACTTCATATTGCACTCATCTAACTGTTAGCACTGCCTATAGTCTCCCCTACTTTGACTAATTGCATATTTTATTTCCCCTACTTCTCCTGGGGGGTGCTGCCTGGAGACCTCAATCTATCAAGATGTCCAGCACACCCTGCAACATGTGACGTCGCCACTACCAATGACGTCCATGCATCCAGCTCGCCGTTCTGCCTGTGTCATCTTCTGTGTATGACCCGCTGCCTAACATCTGGTTGCCTTTATTGTTTGGACAGTGTGATTTGGTCAACTCTCCAATTTGACTCACCCTGCCAGCCCCTGGAGGATGGGCTCCCCCTTTGAGTCTGGTCCCTCCCAAGGTTTCTTCCTTCTCGGGAGTTTTTCCTTGCCACTGTCACCTATGGCTAACTCACTGGGGGCTTTGGGTGGGGATGCTGTAAAGCGCTTTGAGACGATGTAATGTTGTGATAATGCGCTATACAAAAATAAATTTGTTTGTTTGTTTGTAATAGTTTCAATAATCAACTATAATAGCATGGGAACACCATAGATAGGATACCAGTTCATCACAGTGAACACAAACTATGTGCAATTTAGAGATGTCAGTTCACCTAACTGCACGCCTGTGGACTGCAGGAGGAAATTGATGCAATTGTAGGAAATCCACAAAAACATGCAGACTCCACACACAGGCAGCGGGAGCAGGATTCAAACCCCAATAGCGGAGGCATCACGTACAGTGTTACCCACTGTGCCACAGTATTGCCCAACCAAAACGGTCTTTCCTCTGTGTTCTAAAATAATTAACAAGAAACAAACAAACTGACAGCTATAAATATGCAGCATTCCTATAAAAAATCTGAATTCATATTTCAGTCTACAGTATGTCATCTTAAATAATATTTGTTGCTTTTAGTCTTGGGTTATGACATAATATAGTCCCATAAATGGGTTTTTTGATAACAGAATATTTCTTTTGATCTATCCTCCCAGTTTCCCCTGAGACAAGCACATATAAGTTTTTAATGTGTCAGAAAGCAATAAAACTGAGTAAATTGTGAGTCGTGGTTTTCTTCTCTGGAGCACTCGGTGTAACAAAATTTTGTGTGTACAGAAATGAAATAAACCTCCATGGATCCCCACATAGGCAGCTTATTGAATAAAATTTAAAAATATATGAAAGTGCAATGGACACGGTCGTCAAGCATACTTGAATAACTGCCTAAGTATAAGTCAAGTGGACAGACGACTGCAGCCCTGAAGAAAGGGCAAGGCAATACTTCAAGAAGCTGTGTGTTAAGTGGGAAAACAGCTTTTGTGTCCATTTTGTATGTTGTATTTTTAACTTAATTACACAATGTTTATAACACAAAATACAAACCATTTCTACAGTACATCTTACCCAATCAATAATACTAAAAGTCTTTTAATAACATAATACTCGAACAGCTTTATAGTACAGCCATACATTTTCCAGAACTGCTTGCAGCATGCAATACAGGGTCGAGGCAACCATGGAGCCTATCTCAGGTAGCCTGGGGAATAAGGTAGGATACATCCTGGACAGAATGCCAATCCATAAATTAAAGAAAAGCTTTGGATAGCAATACAATAGTGGTCCTTGCTATTCCTATCCTAAAACCCAGGATAAGGATGGTGAGGAATTAAAGATGTACATTCAAAATGGAATTACAGCATCTTATCCTTCACCTTTTAGAAAGAAATAATACACCTTTTAAACCGCCCTGATGATGGCTGACATTTTACCCCCAAATTACTTCACCAACTAACTGACCGCAAACTATAATCATTCACCAGAACTTCCTCTTTTCAATTTATTATTATACATAGTGACACTCTAATGTGATTCATAATAGCATATATGTGACTCCTTGCCACGCAGCTCACTTAAATGTATGCTGATTATGCAGAATAGACACCATAAAAAAGCTGCAGAGCGCTCTACATGAAATGAGAGTAAAGACCAAAGCACAACACTGCAAATAAGTCTGCAGTGCAAATATTCTACAGTGTGAAATATGCATAATGATCATTTAAAATAGGAGGAATACTTTTTTTGCATATCAAATAGATTCTTTCGCATGCTGAGGCAATAGACCAACTCAATATTTTCTCTCAATGAACAGCAAGGTTCTGGAGAATAGATAGTGGGCACTGAACAGGGTTTGCACTGCCCAGTAATATTAGGGAATGAGCTACATCAGCTGCAACATTCAAGCTGAAAAATTAACTCACAAAAGTATATCATATGTAGTTCTATGATGTCACTGAGAGATGTATGCAGGAATTTAGGATGCACTTCTAATTTTTTTGTTGTGTGGATAAAATACCATTGACTAATTTGACTTTCAAAATTATAACCCAACCATCCATCTTTTAACTATTCATTTGTATCACAAGGGGGTGCAGACCACATAGGGTACAAGGCAGGGGTACAACTCGAATGGGATACTAGTCCATCCAAGGGTACATTCAAGCACACACGCAATCCTACACTAGAAGCAAATAAGAGAAGCCAGTAAGCCTAGCTGCACATTTTTGGATTGCAGAAGGAAACCCACAGAACAGTGAGAAAACATACAAACTTTGCACTCACACACAGTGAAGGCAGGACTTAAACCCCCATGGGGTAGGAGGCAACAGTGCTACCCACTGAGCCACTCAACCTCATCATTTTTTAGAAAAATTGCCGCAGCGCTGGCAATTTTTGCCTTTACCCCAGATGGAAACCATATGTATGCCCTGTTTTTAAAACTGAAACTACTACTATTATTTTGTACTTTGTCTGTAAATTTAAGTTCCACATTTCACTGAAATGAGAGACATTGCTGGGAGCTGACTTTGAGTTGGAATATTACATTTATTCAGTTCTTGCACTAGGAATAGAACCAGGTGTTCCTTGCCATACTCATAGAAAGTCAGGTTTCAATCAAAACCTCATTCTAGCAACTTGCTCACTTCCTAGCCTCTGTTTCCTACCACCAGCAATTTATTGCCCATAGTACAGGGTATTCTGTAATTTTTGATATAAACTAAATCAAATGTATTATTAAATATACTGGAAAATGTTTTTCTGGTCAGGGTTTTAATTGCCATTAGCTTCCAACTCAGGAGCCAACCTGTTGCAATTTATTGGGTCAGACTCTTTCAGACAGATCTGCCTGCCCCATTCACCAGGTTGCTGGAGGACCCATTTCAAGACAGACAAGACTGAATGAAAATACCAACATGGCTGCAGAGTTTCCTTTTACTTTTGGTAGCTACCAGTTTTAGCACATCAAATTATGACAATGTGTTGGACATCATTCAGCAAGCAATCCATAAACAACCTGAGTCGATTATTTGATTCTAATAAGGAAAAATTAGCTAAAAAATTATTTAATGGGAACACTTCTTTTGCCATTTTTTTCTACATTTCCTCTGTTCTATTCTATGATTCCAGTCCTCTTATAAGATTACATTGTATCAGAAAAGCATTCATGCAAAGGCACATTAAGCAAAAACTAATTTCATGCAGTGCTAGTTTCATAAATATTCCAAATGGGTTATATTCAGTGTCATTTCATTAAAAGCAATATACACAGCTACAAAATGACAAGAGACATCATTTAACCTTCTCCAAAGAAGTGACAATTGCACATGGTAGCACTGTTACCCATTAAACACCAGTGGCCCAGGTTCAAGCCTGCTTGCTTGAAGTTTGCTTTCCAGGGTTTCCATGTGTTCTTCTTCCATATGTCTTTTCTGTATGCTGTCCAGGTTAACCTCCTAGGTGCACCTTCCATAAGACAAGAAAACCCTGCATCAAATACAAAGCAAAACACCAAGTAATGACAAATGAAATGACAATGAAAGTTATCATTGGAATTGATTTTACTGAAGTTACAATACTGATGATCCAATAGGTTTATTGATTACCTTGTGTATTTATTTTTTCCATTCATCCATCCATTTTGTATTCCCCCTTATCCTACGCAGGGTCATAGAGTTCCCATGGGGGTCTATCCCAGAAGCAGCAGGCACAAGGCAGGAAATAACTTTGGATGGGGCACCAAAAGAGCACACACATAGTCATCAGTTAAAAAACACAATATGTGAATAACTCTCTAAGGCCCCATTCTGATAAGTTTGTATTAATAGTCAAGAAAACAGAATACAGAATATGAATAATAAGAGATTATTAGTGCAATAATGATGGAACTTAAAAGCTGTCACAGGCTCACTATTAATATCCTCATTCTGAAATCCAGTCTCATGGCTGATGGTTTATGGGAAAGGCTCATGGGCATTTTAAACAGTGGCAGCTTGTTTGTCAAGGGATATATAAAACAATAATATGTCTCACTTCAATTCTTTTTCCAACTTGCTTTAGATTTATTAAGCAAACACTTGAAAAATCTCCCAAAGGTAAAATTTTAAAAAGTATTGTATGGTGAAAAATAAATGGCTAAGCTTTTTCATAGACCTGTAATGTTATTCTCTATGCTCAGAGACAGCACTTTTTCCAAGTGGACAATTTCTTCTACAATTTTCTAACAGCAGAGGGTGACTGAATTATGAGGAGACTGAGAAGGGTCATATTTTCTGTTGGGATCTCTCTGGCTAACTATTTCAACTAACTGTTTGAGCAATTTATCAGATAATAATTTCCATATATCTTTTAGTGGTATCTGTCAGAACAAATAAGTATTTGTGATATTCTTTTGCCTGTCCAGATGAAAGAACTCACCAGATTAATGTTTTGAAAAAGGTTTGTGCCTGACATCCAAACAGGCAGATAAACACAATGAAAAAGCATTCTGTGAAGATCAAAGTTATACGAATAGCATATGTAAATGCTATTAGAGAAAACTCTTTTTGATTGATTATCGGTTGTCAGAAAAAAATGTATCCCCAGTCTTCACTGGAGATACCAATATTAATCGGCAATGAAATATTCATAAAATAATTCATAAATTAAAGTAGCACAAGCATGCATAGAGAGGTTCATTCTATCCACCACCAGTCCACAGAAACAGAGGGAGTGTTGAATCACCTCCAGCAACTGAATTAACATGGACTGCAACCAGGGGAAGTATGTCATAGTCTAACGTTACACAAAGAAAAGATAATATTTAGAAGCATTTAACCTATTAATTATTCAAAATAGGTGCCGTAGTAATTGTAAGCGCAGGTGTTAGAATAAAAGTTTATTCATTTTATAGTTTTTAATTTACATTGAAGCATCTGAGTTAGCTCAGCTAGGACCTAAATTTTAAACAAGCACCTTCATGTTTTAAGAACACATTGTGACAGTACCTCTGTGACCAGCAGATTGATGCTACACCTCAAACAGTAGCCACCTGTGGAATATCAGGGCCCCCTGACCAGCATTCAGCCATAGGTCCACGCCTACAATAGGCATCAACTGGAAACGAATGATCGCACCAGCTGCTGCCACTCTCCTGGCACCAGTGTTCTCTGTAAAAAAGGCCTTCCTGACTGTGCCAGAGACCAATCTGGACCTTGTCTGAGTTACTGACTGTAGTTTTTGATTCCTACTACTTCAGCAATACTTTGACATTCCTTTATCTTTCTGTCTGTTTTTGGTAGGTGTTCAATCTGCCCACCGTTATTCACCCATTCATACCATTCATCACTCTCAGAGTCATACGAACCTGGCACAGCGGTAGGACACCAGCAGCCATCTCCCGCAGTCCTGGAGTCTGCAAGTTACCCCTTTCTCTCAGCTTCAATTGGGGTGTCATTAAATACATTCAGCCTCGTTGGGGCTTATGCTCATACAGCCACTCTTGCCTGTGTGCTTTTTAGCTCAACCAAACAAAAAGAACATCTTAAGGAAATAACTAATGAGTAAGTAGTGAAATGTGTAATTATTTTTAAACAGCCAGAAGTCTGAATATTATAAGATAATTCAATAAATCAAAAGGTCCAAATAGCATTTCATATAGAAATGAGAAACGGGCTACGTAATGTTTCTACGTAAATTAATTTTACATTTTTGATGCTGAGTCTTTCTTACATTGATAAATGCAAACCAGCACTCAGTAGCCACTTTATACATTAACCCAACTTTGTACCTGATAGGACCACTTTCTCTCTACAGAACCACTTCAACAATAGACAGGTCATGTGTTGAGAGATGCCTTTTTGGACTTATTTTTGCACTTGTGGCCTCCGTTTACTTTAACCAGTCTGGCTGTTCTCCTCTGACCTCTCTAACAACTGTAAATATTTTCTGTAGTACTAACTGATGATTTTTTATTAGACACTGTAGGCACCATAGTAGTGAAAATTCCAGAATGATGAATCTTTTTAAGATGCTGGAACCGCCATACGTGGCATTAACAATCATAGCAAATTTAAAATGACTTTGAGCCATTCCAGTGCTTATGTAGGCATACAACTACTGACCAGAACCACTATGCGCCAAACATATAATAATGTGTTGATCATTGGCAGTATACATTCATGCAACTTCATATACCACATTCATGGACACATTTGCTCATAAAACCATATTCATGTAAGAAATACAAATTAACCTCTGACTCTAATTTCCAAATCACATCTACCGCAAACACATACTTTGTTGCCAGCTTGCACAGCAGGAATCTGTATTCACCGTTGATTCTAAGCCATCCATAATACATTTGGCTAAGCGTGAAAAACAAACACCAGTCAATATGCTGACTGTCTCTCTTTTTGAGTGGGAAAAAAATGGAAGCCCCAAATTTCAGTGGATGTGACTGTTCATGAAAAACAGGAAAACCTGCAGTCAAAATCTTATCTTATCACCCAAAAATTTCCATCAGTAGGAGAAACAAAGTTCCTCCAGGACCATAGTGCAACATACATAAGGCAACACATAAAACAATATGTGAGATAATGCATGTGTGTGTGTGTGTGTGTGTGTGTGTGTGTGTGTGTGCATAAATATATATATATAGAAAGATAATGTTTGCATGTCAGATGGCAGCACTATGAAACTTTTTCACCACCTCAAAAGATAACACCTGTCCAATATGCTGAGTTATTCTTTTAGGTTATATTTCCTTATAGGGCTATGTTTTTAAAATAGGGGAATTAGTCTGGTTGTCCTGCCCCGCTTGATCCTACTGTTTCCTCCTTGCCTGTCCATCTTGTTCCTGTCCTCCTGTGATTCACACCAGCTGCCTCTCATCGTGCTCCCTTGTTAGTCCAGTATGTAAGCGCTTCCCTGGCTTATGATCCCCAGTTCTGTCATTGACGTTGTGTTTCCGTGGTGCTCATGCCATAACCTTGTCTTTTTTGATCCCATGTGATCCAGTTTGTTTGCAAGTTCAGTTCTGTGAATAAACCCTGATTGCCGCTTCTGTGTCCTCCGTTCTGCCCTGTCATGACAGAATGATGGAAATCCACGTCTCACCTAACAGCTGTCTACAGAAGCATTTCAAGCTCCGCATCGGTGCATGCATGCTTTTATACTGCTCCCAATACATATGCCTTGCAGAGCCGCTACAGACACCTGGTGAAGGACGCAGAGATTCTGCAGCTTCCAGAGCTAACTGCCAGACTCAGTCAGGAGTGAGATTTGCTGGAAGAGTTCACTCCTGAATCTTAGGCCTGGGAGGTGGAGCTGGTGAGGGAATTCCTGCTCACGCTGGAACAGATGGTGAGAGCCGACTCCTCTGGTCATTCCCCAACCCCAGGATGGACTGACCAACATCTCCAACCTCACTACTCACCACTGACATCACCACTGTCTCCTCAAAGCCCCCCACTTGTTCTCGACACAGGAGAAGGATAATTATGTTGTGGACTGAACCAGCCCTCAAGCTCGACCCTGAGCCTGTTCCTGTTCCAAATACCACTCCAGCTTTCAACCCAGAAGGTGCCGCCCTGTCCACACCAGTTCCTTGTCTAGGAGAGCGAGAGCCTCTACATCCAATCTGGGTGAGACCCCTGTCGAACCAGTCGAGCTTGCCTCAGTCCCAGCTAGTTGTCCTAGGCCCCTCCTTGCCACTGCGATGATTCCAACTCCTGGCTGCAAGGGGACCAATTGACCAGTGATCCAAGATGCCTGGCCCCAGGGAGATGTCCCAGCTCTTCCCATCTGTCTCCTACCTAGAGGAAACCCCACAACAACACAGAGAGAACAGGCAAGTTCCACACACAAGGAACCCTGCTGGAAACACAAACCCAGGTCTCAGAGGTATGAGGCAATGGTGCTAACCACTGCACCACCCCGCATATGTCAAGTCTAAAAGACAATGTTCCACCTCACACAGATAATTTTGAATGTTGTGTTCATAATGATCAGGATCAAAGTCTTCAATGTCCTTATCAAGAGCGTCCAACTGCTTCCAGCATGGATTTCCTGCATTGACGAGTCATCTTGGCAGGTAAACAGGGTTACAAATGCCTGAATACTAGGGTGGAGGTTGTGTAAGAACAGTGACTTCAAGGCGCGATCCTCTTCAAGCTCTGGCTTACTCCTACCCTGGAAATATTCTTGTTTCAAGTGGTTGTAGAACTCAATGTTTAATTTGCATAACATACAGTATATTGTCACCGTGGTCAGATCTGCAAAAAAAAAGATTACTCCTCCTGAATGTCTAAGTGGAGGTGATGGAAATCATTGGGCACTGAGGAAGGCAACATTTTGATAAAACCACAAACTGTTCTGAAAGCACTCTTCCAGATTAGCTTCTCCCTCTCTCCCTCTATAGCAAGGGGCAGATCCACAAGGCAGTGCTTTGTCTCATGGAGATACCCCTCAATATTGTGATCCCATCTTTCAGGATCAAAGTGCTCAATGTCCTTGGCATCGAGTTGCTTCATGTGGGGGCCGTCAGTATATTCACGGGTGTGTCTCTGTGGTTGGGGCCATTGGCAAGCTTGCGGTACTCCCTGTCATATTCTGATGAGTAATCATGCCGCCAAGCTCCTCAACGGTAGGCCCAGTTCCTATCTTCTAGCCACTGTGAATACTTCCGATTATAGGGAGAGTGACGTCGAATATACGAGTTTCACTATGGTGGTCAGCTATGTGTGCCTCTAAGCCTTGAAAAGAACGGGGGTAGGTGTGCCATTGGTCATCGGACATAAACTGATGAGGAGGCTGTGGACTATGGCTGTCCTGATGGGGATGAACAGAGCACCCTTCTCTGCTGAGAGAGGCGGGTTGAATTTGGGTAGACCCAAAGGAGTGGCCCTGACAGGGGTCAGGAACCATATCTAGCCCTGTGCCCAGCGGGTTGGTCCAGGAGGGTTCCTGCTCTGACCTGGACCTGCCCTTTCCAGAGGCTACTGGATGTTGCCACATCCAAGGTCAGCAGACAGACTCGTTTCGCCATTGACTCCAACTCTGATTCCTTCACTGTCCATCTGATCTCCTTGTTAAAACTCCTCTCTCTTTCTTTGGGGCCTCTATCTCTAAGCTGGTCCTCCTGTGATGAAGGATGGTAAATTAAGGAAGCTGGGTTCCTGCTGCATGTGAGATATTATAGACTGAATTTTACAATCACAGTCTACTACTGTGTATAACTGACATGTCCAGATGTCTTCTTAAAAAAAGAAAAAGAAATATAGAAAAATATATGTTTATATACATGCATATGTTTATTATTATTATTATTATTATTATTATTCCTACTACTACTGCTACCAGTACTACTACTATTATTATGAATAATAATAATTATTATTATTATGTGAGAAGAAGAACCCAATATAATAGGAAGTATTACTGGCTAGCAATACCATGCTGCTGCTGATATGAACTGGCAATCACCATCACAGTTGAAAGTGAAATTCTGGGGGAGTGAAACCAGGAACTACAGGGCACCAGTTGCTGTTAATTAGTGATAATTTGGTAATTGGTTACTTCTTTTGTAATTGGTTACTTCTTTGGTAATTGGTTACTTCATTAATAAAATCCTTCATAACATGGGTCTGGCTCGAGCAACAGACTTGGACAGTTTCCTGGTCGCTTGGGTAGAGAACAATGGAGCACAAAAAGACAGAAAAAGATGTAGTGATCTGAAAGGGCTGTCGGGGGTAGTCACATGACACTGGTAATTGCACCATATTTGCAACCACATGAGCCAGGTCACATGATCCACCAGGAAATTATAAAAGTTTGCCATGGTGGAATCTCATTTTTTGCTGCTGTGTTTTGTGACTGGACATGGGGTAGTTTTTTTTTTTCTTCCTTGTGGGTAAGGAAAGGAGGAGAGGGCTTATTTGTTTGAGGAAACTTGAATGCTTATGTTTTCATTTTACCAGGGTGATTGCTAGTAGCATGTAACTCTTCATGGAGGATACAGAGATGACTGAAATTTTATCATTT